AGAAGAATGTGTATGATTCAGTTTTATATACAAGGGTGGGCAAAAGTAGGTTTACAGTTGTTCATACTGAAAAATTATTATTAAATAATACTAGAATAAATTTGTATACTCACAACTGTAAATCTACTTTTGCCCATCCATGTATGAAGGCAACTGTAGACAAACATTGATTATATAAAATGATATCAAATTTGTGGAATTAATAAGAACTAAAGTACTAGAAAATAGAATAGGTATTTACCACTTTTGGGAAGTCACTATTCTTATGTTTTCTATCTTCCTTTGGGGCTCATTCCTTCTACCTGATACGTCTTTGGAAATGCATATGCTCGTTGGCTAGAAACTCATTCGCTTTCCTAAAAATGCAAACTCTGTTTCCAACTTTCACAAGATTATGAGACAAATTAAAATATATGTTCTGAAACTTCGGGGGGGGGGTATGTGAGACCCTTTCCCTCTACCTTTCATGTCTCAGTTTCTATCTCATATATTTTTTTTAATCTTTGGGTCTTTGTGCTGCAGTCTCTGGAGAGATTGTTGTTTTCCCTGGTCTTCCCAGGGCTAAGGCCAAGACACAAGAGTGCCCCAGTGTCTCTACGTGTATGTGGGTGCTTTGCTCTATATCATATTCTTTGAATACAACATACTACACAAGACAGAGAGAGGCTAAGGAACTGTGCCACATTAAAGGGTCATGATGAAGTAACATAGGATCCTGGACTAGACAGTGTAACAGAAAAAAAAAATTGAACGACAAATGAAATCGGAAGAGTGACTGTACATGAAGGTATTGTAATCAATGCTAAGTTCCTGAATTTGATAGCTGTACGTAGTATGCTTGTTCTTACAAAGTACAGATATTGTATTAAAGGGCAAAGGGTATGATGTCTGCAGTATACTCTCCAATGGGTCAAGAAAGAAAATACAACAAGCAATAGAAAATGGTAAAGCAAATATTAAAAGCATTAAACAAGAAGGCAAAGTACAGAACAACATACAATATCTGTCCAGAAGGTATCCAGCTATGTACTATGAAAACCAGAAAGATACGAAAATCAAAGAGATCTATTGAAGAAGACACAAGAAACACTGTACACAGGACAGTGATTCCTCAGTCCCCTTCAAAATAGGCACTTTGGGACCTCACAGTTCTCCCAATCACCATCAGCTGCCCTGTCATATTTTCCAGAATTTCATCAATGGTCTGAAACCTCTTCCTTTTCAAAAGTGATTTTAGTTTTGGGAAAAGCCAGACGTCATAGGATGCCAAATCTGGGCTGTAGGGGGTCTGAGTAGCAAGACTGAAAAACTGAGAAAGGACACCATTGCCACCTAGTGGACAAACGTAGTTACCACACCTAAATGAGACCCACTGTGACGCACCTTCTCATTCCCCCACATTTGGTCAATAAATCCTGTCAAATCTTCTATCAGGTCTTTCCAGATCTCTTTTCATCTCCACTCTCCTAGTACCACCTTAGTCTTGTTCCTAGTTTTAGGTTTTGCTGGAATTGTTTTGTTTTAGTTTTGCTAGAATTGTTGCTTTTGAATCAGCCTCTCTTTAGTCACTATTCTCTCAATATATTTTCCTTGTTACTAGTGTCACTTGTAACTTCATAATTTTACATTAATTTGACGGGTGGCCTATCAATTACTTGCTTATAAGTTTTAGAACCAGTAACAGCAGTCAGAGCAGGGAGGAGCACAAAGCAGAGGCCCAAGAAATGTCAGATTGACGGAACCAAGTATTCAGCACCATTTGTTCGTTTGCCGGATTCATCTGGGAGGGAGCAGAACGCACGGAAGTTTCCAGGCTTTTTCTGTAACAACAGACTGATGGATGACATTCACATGTGTTACTCTCCTGTGGGCTTACGTACATTTTTTTAAAACTCAAACTTATTTTTAATTACAGAATACACGACTGATACGAAAAATGAGTAGTTATGTTGATGGCGTTGAGAACGGAGGTTCTTCCTGGGGACCAAGGCACAAGTACGGAATGGGGAAGGCGAGAAGAACCACCGAGGCTGCCCTGGAACTGGAGGTATCAGTGAAGCCTGTAATTTTTAATACAGAGGTTTCCTTGCTCTTTCTGTGGACGAGGCCTAGAGGCAACGACATCCCCGCAGGCCCAGTTCTGAGGGTCTAAACACAATTCTCCACTAAAAGAAACTTTGTAGAAATGGCTGATTCCAGGGCTGGGTAGGAAAAGAGAAAACAGCAACACTTGGAACACTTGTGAGGGAAAATAAGAAATTTCTCCAAAAATGGTAAGAATGTGCCAAAAAGAGCCAGGAGACAGCTTGAAAGTTCTCCTACTGGCCAAATCTGGGACAATTTGACATCAAAACAAATGAGTAACAGGCTGAAAAAAATAGGAATCCATGAGTTCATACTAGCATCAGTGATGAAAAGAAAAAGCTTTTCCTTACAACAGAACGCCAGCTGATAAGTGTACAAGGAATGACACGATTGGAAAACCACCACTTGGCAACCATCGGAGTAACAGCTAACTCGGCCAAGGGACATCACTGTATGCTAAATTAGGGTGTGAGAGTTTGCTCAGAAACAGGATATTTTCAGTCTCCAAGTATCTCCCCACAAAATGCTTAATACAACAGAAGAAAAAAGAAACATTATAGTGGGGAAATCTAGCAGGTACTACCTAAAACAAGCGACTGAAGTTGACACCTTGAGACAGGACAACCAACACCAGGACGATGCGCGGAGAAGGGACACACCACTTCTAGGGCAGTCCTGCCAAAGACGCATCGGCTCAATCCAACCGTTAAGCAAAACAAATTAAAAAAAAAACACTAAGATTAAGAGATATTCTGTAAGATAATCAGCCTACAAGTTTCATGACTTTGACAGTTTTGAAAGACACCAAAGAACTGTTCTAGGAGACTAGAGACATGGTAGCTAAATATAGTGTTATCCAGAATTAGATCCTGACCCATTCTTATTTTTTACTACAAAGGCCATTAGTGCTATGGTTATGTTAGGAAATACCCCTGTTCGTAGGAAACAGACAAGTATTTGAGGTAAAGAGGCACTGTATCTATAACTAACATGCAAATGGTTACCAAAAAAAAGCATTTACTGCTCTGGCTGGTGTGGCTCAGTGGACTGAGTGCCGGCCTACGAACCAAAGGGTTGCTGGTTCGATTCCTGGTCAGAGCACATGCCCAGGTTGCAGGCCAGGTCCCCAGTTGGGGACACGTGAGAGGCAACCACACATTGATGTCTCCCTCTCTTTCTCCCTCCCTTTCCCTCTCTCTAAAAAAATAAACAAAATCTTTTTAAAAACATTTATTCTATATCGATAAAGGGAAACTGCTTCCTTAGAGCAGAATGACAACTAATAAAATCACAATTTTGTAAACTTCACGGGAAAATTTTTTTCAGATAAGAATCATCAAAGGGTGCTAATCTATGAGGGGCAGGTTTAATGAGAAATAGAGTATCGACATGGTCTCAAAAATTTTTCTTCACAAACTAAGCACTAATTGCAAAGGAAAGACAATAACTACATTGACTGGCAACATCTAAGTGACCATTCCCTGAAGGTACAAAGGGATGCTCTGAGAGTCTGGATGCGACACTGCGGGACACATCTCTCATAGCATTTCAGCCCACACTGCAAAACCTGAACTTAAACACAAAGAAACAATGGAAAAACCCACAGTGAGGGATTTTCCATGCCTTAACTGTCCTGTATTCTTCAAACACATCCATACTACAAAACACAAAGAGAAGCTAAGGAGTGATGATTAAGTCACCTATGACCCTGGATAAGATCCTGTAACAAAAAAAAAAGCTAAACAAAAAGAACTGGAAGAGGGAGTGTAGACAGGAGTGTTGTTGTCAGTGTTAAACTGCTTATGTTGACAACTGTACTCGGCACGCTCGTCCTTGCGAAGCACACACCGTGCTGAGCGGTAACGGGTATGATGCCTGCACGGCGCTCTCAGACTAGTCGAGGGAGAAACATGTACCGAGGGACAGAAAATGGTCAAGCAAATATGAGAAACACTAAAAAAAAGCCAAAGTACAGAACAATGTATTTCTTCTATATAAAATTCTCAAAACACACATACGTGTATGTTAATGTGTATTTCTAGGATACTAAAATCATTAGTACTCTCCTGCCCCTCCAGCTAAGGAAACAGTATTTGGTGGTTGGCATGAGGCTATAAAGAGTTAAGTCTCTTTTTCCCAGCCCTCAGTTCCAGTGCACGGTGGGGGAAAACAGTATTAACAGCTTTCAGATGCTTTCCACAAGCATCCCCACACTTCTGCACATATAGTACACGTAATTCTTGTATCATGTTGATGGCTACATATCCTAATCAGCGTACTGAAGAAGTGTTCTACTGATATCTACGTTATTTCTTATATTTAAAAGTTTTGAGATTTTAAAAATTATCTTATTTCATCATTTTTACATTTACTTTAAAACTATGCTCGGCCATAATTCTGTCATCTGCTTTCATGTTATAGTTTCTGTTTATGTGCCTTCTTTTTAAAAATATTTTATGTTCGTGTTTGGGATTTTCCTTCTCATCTTAATGAATTCTACTCAATGTATGGCAGTCATACCATCATTTCAAGAATAGGAAGATTTAGAATACATATATTCTGTTCTGAGGCTTAGCACTAACGGAAATCTTCATAGAACCTGAGTCTGGCCCCAGGATCGTTTAAGGAAGGAGGCTACTCAAGGCCTCAGTATGAAACTGAGTTATGGGAGTCCAGATTTCAGGTAACACCTGAGAAACACACCTTTCCCAAAGTCGGCCAACCCAGCTTTTAACTATCTGGCCCACTCTCTACCTGGGTCCTATTATGAGTCCCCTTTTGTTGATTTTCACTAATAGTCCTAAATTGTTTAAAGCATGAGAAGATATTTCCTGTCTTCACAGCTGTTATTTATTGTATTTTAAATTATCCTTGAGATCTTTCTGGATATTAATAACAATGTATCTCAGAAACACTATTTTAAAAAACTTATAATTAGTTAAAACTTTATTTTCCATAATTTTAAAATACAAATGCAACATCTATTATTATGTATATCACGTCATCTATTCTACACATTTGATAATGGTATTTATACATAATGAACTTGACATTAGGGAACACTTCCTTGGTTTCCCTTAGTAGGCTGCAGGTTTCCAAAGCCGAAGTCCTGAACCTCTGACGGTAGTGAAACAAAAATCTTTCTTTGAAGATATATACATATATTTTAAGAATCAAAGTGTTTGCTTCATTCTATTTATTTTTTGGTGGGGGGATGGGGGGTGGAGAATATTACAAGCTTCATTTTTGCTTCCAAGAGCTTTCCCAAAGAGTGGTCATTCATTTCCATTGTATATCATCGTAACAAACACTGTTCTCTTGGCTTTCATAATAGTGTGAATTCAAGGTCATGTGTTTTCCTGAAATCCAGTATATTCACTTGGATATGTATGTGGTGTTTTCTTGTGTTCTTATTCTCATGTGAAAGGTATTATTAGCACTATGGGGTCAAGAACAAATTTTTGAAAATCATATATACAATTTCTGTGTTTGATTTGGGTCTGGGCCAAGGAACCATTCAGCCATAATGGTCTGAGGTACTTAAATAGCCTGTGAAGCTGCAATTAATTAAGGTGCTGCTGATTCTAAGAACTAGGCAACCAACAAGGGAATGAGCGAACGAAGAGTGTAAGTCTGGATGCCAAGTTCGGAGCAAACTATGTCTGTAAGTCAAGTAGAGGGAGAGGACAGTAAGAATATGTGACTGATGTTAAATAAAAAGTGCATAGAGAACTGGGCCATTATTTTTGTTGTTAAATTTGCCACTTATTCTGGTTTAATCAGATGCACGTAAGGCAGACTAATTACAATGCTGCTACTCAGAACTTCTTGAGAGCAAAAAAATGAATACTAATCAAATTCCCTGGTTTTAACTTAATTGTCTTAAAACATGTTATTTTGTAACTTGAACATCTATGATACGCCTTGAAAATTTAAAGCAGAAAGCAAAATCAGATAGAAAGCCAGAAACTTCATCAATACATCTAGACAGACGTTTGCTTGTAGTTTTTCGTGTCCAAAACCTTTTTTCCACACATCGCGCAGATGCCTAGGACAAAAGAACACATGCGAGCGTCAGACTGTACCACCAGCGAACGTCTACCACCAGTGAACACCCAACACCAGCAGTTCGGCTGACTTAAGTCAATCCTGAAGGTAAAAACATGATTTTACAGTATCAGAAAAGAGAAAAGGAAAATATATAGTTTCAATGATGAACAAGTTCTATTTTGCCTTAGAAAAAATAGAATTTGATTATAATAGAATTTATACAGGCTATTCCTTTTCTATATTATCCAAATCAGTACTGAATAAAATAGAGTTGATATGAATAGAAAAATGGTATTAAACTTACCCTTTTTGTAGGCACAGCCCTGGCAGTAATTAGAACCTGGTTGGTGCACAGAACTTTTACAAATTCTGCAAGTGGAGAACTTATTCTTTCCATATGGATCAAATCTAGATTTTTAAAAGAACAATGTGAATACCATAGACACACTCCGAGACAACCTCACCCGAGCAAGCAATGGGACTAACCCATGCTCTCCCTCCCCCGTCACGCTCTACAGTTGACCGGCACAGTGCCCTTCCAGCGGGCACACTGCAAAGTGCCTGCACACTTCAGCCCCTTCCACGCGAGCTGCGTGCTTATAAAGAGCCAGGTGTGCTTAATCCCAACCCTGTTTAGAGCCAGGGCATTTGTCAATCTATCTGTCTGGTACAATATTATAGAAATTGATGAAGTATGGGTACAAAAAGGATGGTAGAGTCTATTAAAAACTATGTGACTGCTTTAGGATGACTAGTTAAGTGTGAATCATTAGAACTGCTATTGATTTAAGTGTGGGTAAAACAACTGTTAAAAATTGAGGAAAAATCAAAAGTGGGAGGATTTCGCACTTTGCAACTGTCCTTTTTTTTAAAGATTTTATTTATTCATTTTTTTTTAGACAAAGGGGAAGAGAAAGAGAAAGAGAGGGAGAGAAACATCAATGTGTGGTTGCCTCTCGTGCGACCCCACTGGACACCTGGCCCACAACCCAGGCAGGTGTCCTGACTGGGAGTCAAACCAGCAACCCTTTGGTTCACAGGCTGGCGCTCGATCCACTGAGCCGCACCAGCCAGGACACAACTGTCGGTTCTTGCTCCGCTTTAAAGACACTGGAAATATATATTCTTGTTATGAATTCTATGAGGAAAATGATGAAGAACTCATACTCAAAAGGCTTTGTCTCACTATCAAATGACCAGTGAATGTATATAGAGCATGTGTTTTAATTTAAAATAAAACAAGTATGCGTTTTTTAAAGACTGCCTTTTACTGATGTCTTTAATTAATTAAAACAAATAAAGTATGTGTTTTTTTTAAAAACTGCCTACTTTTACTGATGTCTTGGATAAAAAGGATCCTACAATATAAAAATGCCACCTTATAGTGCCTGAAGTGCAAAGTAACTTTAGAGGAAATACTTTCCCTTAAATGGCAATTACTTTCTCTAACAACAGTCATATACTGAAGACCAACACTTTCTTCTCTTCGGGTACACAGCACAATAGTTCATTCCCAAAGGTTAATTCTTCCAGACCCCAGAGAATGTCACTTTACGCCCTACAAGAGAAGAGAGGCACTATTTTTCTTAACACACTCAACTGTTTCAGCCTGTATGCTGGAGACTGCTTTTTCTTAAAACCGTATTTCATCATTCTAAGATGTACATTTTAATATCTCTGAAATCTTACAAGTATTAATTGGCACAGCTTTTTCTTAAAGTAATGATGCATCTTATAAATGATGGTATCTTAGATTCAATATAATACAGTAGTACGCTTTCCAAAGTGAAATATTTAGAGAATCCAAAAGTAACAACTACTTTTTAATGATATTAGAGTAAATTTGGGAGCATAAAGGTACTAGAAGTATCTAAATTCTACAATCTGTAAAAATAACTCAGTCAATAATAACTGAATGGTCTTAAAAGACATCAGTTAGTCAGTCAACAATGCATAATCTGACACCTCTCATCACTTAAAAGATTGACTCTATTGTGCTACTTACGTGCCAGGCACTGGAAATAGTAAAAGCTTTATTTTTACTATTATTTCTAATCTTTGGGTTGATGTCATCAAACAGGTATTTGTTTACTCAGCAAATATATACTGAGTGCCTACTACACACCTGTACTGTTTTACATACCAAAGATAAACCTGACAAAGACTCTGCCCTCATCCAGCTAACGTTCTCGTGAGAGGAGATGGGCAGTAAGTAATGAGACAAACACATTTCTCAGACAGTCATGACAGGTTGTAGAGGAAATTCAAACAGGACACCATGGCAGACATGAGGCAAAAGAGGGAAGACATCAGTTTAGGTGCTGGGTATGGGCCCTCTCTGAGACGGTAACATTTCAGCTGAGACCTGCTCTGAGGGCAGAGCTCTAGAAGAGGGAGCAGTAAGCACACACCTCCTCCAGAGGGACTTGGCCTCTCTGGTGCAGGGGTTGCTAGACAGCAAGTCAGAGAGGTGGGAGGGGCCAGATCTTGGAGAACCTTGTAACAACACAGCAGGGTACTTGGCATTTATTCAACATAAAGAGAAAACCAATGGAGGTTTTAAGCAAAGAAGTTACATGCCCTTTAAACTTAACTATACAGAAAGAGAAGGGAAGCAGGGAGATAGAAAGTTACTTAGGCACCCAAGTTAGAAATAACAGTGGTTTGGAACATGATAATAGCAATGACATGGACAAAAGCAGGTAGATTCAGGCTATACTTTGGTAACAGGACCCAAGGGCTTGCTGATGAGTGTAGGAAGAGAGGGAAAGGAGGGAACCGGTGAGGAATGCTAGCTTTTAGGTTTGTACAACTGGACCGGACAGTGGAGCAATGATGAGAAGACTGTGATTAGAAGACTGAAAGAAAAGTGGTTACCTGTTAAGACAACCAACTGGGTAAGTCAAGTAGACGGTTCAATGTGTTTGGAGCTCAGAAGTCAGGACTAGAGACACACATTTAGGAGTAATTAACAGACAGTTTGAACTTAAAGCCATTGGACCAAAGTCAACTGAGGAGAAATTATAAATTTATAAATAGAAAAAACCAAAAGTCTGGGACTGAGTCCAGAAGCACTTGATTGAGAAGGAACAGCACTGAGTTGGGAGGAAAGAAGAATGTGGTGTCCCAGAGCCGAAAGAATAAAGGCTACCAAAAATAAAGAGTTGTTAAAAGATTCAGTAAGGTAAAAATAAAGTAGGAGACAGCAGTTTCACAGGTCACGTGTGGTCCCGACAAGAGCAGTGTCAGGGGTGTGGGTGGACAAAGGCCTGACTGGCACAGCCGACGGAGAGAGCAGAACTGAAGGACGCTGAGAAAGCACCTAGGTAGGTCTGGAAAACTGCTGCTGTGAAGGGAAACAAGAAAATGGGTGGCAGCTGGAAGGGGTCATGGGATTTTTAAGACTAACTATAATGAAACGGTGTCAGTAATTGTTTTTAAGGGGGGAGATATTTTTATCCCCATTCTCAGATGAAAAAGTAAAGTTCAGAAAAGAAACTAGCTTAACTTGTGTAAGGTCACAGAAGCAGACAGTGACAGAGTCTAAATTCGAATTAAAATCTGACTCCAGAACTTACTCTATTTTCTTATTTTTCCGTTACCTCTGATTTGAAGGATAATTAAGAACTAGAAAGCCCTGGCCCTGGCTGGTGTGACTCGGTTGGAGCATCACCCCTGTAACCAAAGGGTTTCAGGTTCGATTCCCAGTCAAGGCACATGCCTAGGTTGCGGGTTTGATCCCTGGACCAGACATGTACAATCCCGGTACAGATCCATACCAGAGGCAGCCAATAATGCTTCTCTCTCACATTGATGTTTCTCTCTCTTCCCTCCTTTCTCTCTAAAAGCAATAGAAAAATGCCCTCTGGTGTTTAAAAAAAGAAAGAGAACTAGAAAAAATAAAAGTCATATTTTCTGGTGAAATTATAAAAAGGAAGTAGCACTAATTATCTTCATATGCTGATACAGTAAGGAAGAACAGGGTGAAACCAGCAGGTTATAACAGGTAGCTTGTTCTTATTCGCCAGGAACTACCCAACTGTATCATCACAATAGAATGGCACACCAAACTCACGTCAGTGTGCTTAATGTTAGAAGGAGTGGTGATTTAACGTACTACTGCTCTATAGGTGCTCTTGTACCTACCTTGCTTTTTTTGAGGTCAAAGCTTTATTTTCATTCAGCTTTCTTCCACCACTTTCTATATTAAAATGAACATGTACTTGTTAGTTATTTCTACACATTTCACACTAAACAATTACTTTAAAAGTTCATTTTTTTGACCTCCTACAAATACTGTATCAAAATTTTCAGAAATCCTCATTTAGCAACCAGGTTCTCAGGATATTACTTAAGAGAAAACAATTATTTAATAGAAAAACAATAAAAATTAGATAAAACAATCATTTTATTTCTCAGATCCAAAGCTGGACTTTAGAAATGGGTCTACACTTAATTTATCCACTGTAAAATCTAGAAACCACTACACTGGTGCCACAGGCCTTGAATATAGTGAAAATATTTCTTTTCTTTCCCTTTGATGTTTGCACTGTATTTAATGAGTAGGAAAAGGATATTAGCTAGTCTGTAATAAATTACCTTGGAGGAAAATGATTAAGGAGATGAAAACATTTAAATGATTTAAGAATATAAAAATCAGGCACGGAGAGGGAGATTTGATACCAAGTGTAATTAAGCTGAAGCAAATCAATTACTAGTATATACTCATTGCTTGAAAATCATTTAATTATTTTACTATCTCCTGCCTACCAAATTAGGAACTCCAATATGTAACTAAGAGAACTAAATAAGATACTAAATTATTGGGGGATCCAGTATAATTTAACATTTAATAGATGAAATATTTTGTATACATAACATTTCATTTTACAAATAATCTAAACACTAAAACACTATTCACAGGAAGTATCTGATCCAACTTCTGTGTTCTAAAAGGAAAAATACCTGTGGTATTCCTTGCACCATCTTTCCATGTATCTGGAGTGATAACAGTACCAAGTTTCTTTTCACCTGTTACAGCAAGATAGTAAAAGTAAGGGGAATTAGTATTTACTATTAACAAATGCCCTATATTTTGCCTAAAGTTCACATTGGTATCAACAGTCATATTATAGTAGGAGCTGTTAATGCTGGGGTTGGGGCCAGTGAACTGAGACTTAAGAAATTAACTGTGGGAAATGGACAACTGACTCTCAGCAAAGTTTGTAATATAGTAGGCTTCTTCTGTATACTTTTAACAAATTGGGTACACAAATCTGGTAAATTTACTCATTCCATAAATACTTACTGAGCATCTATACACCATTTATACCATGTATAAACCACTGTACAAAATACAGAGAAAAAGAAACTTGATCAGTTAGATGAAGTTCTAAATTACAAGGAGCTTTCTGATTTCTCTAGCAATAGTCTTTAACTTGGGTGTTATAGGTGGACCTTAGGAAACATGTAAACTACATGAAATTGTACACAAACCTTTTGCATATTTTTTTAATAGACTCTGGTAAAAGTCTACAGCTTTCATCAGATTTTCAAAGGATTTAGAGAACCAAAAAAAGAAAAAGAAAGTTAAGAACTACTCAGCTAAAATGTAAGCTAGAGACCTGGCTGGTGTGGCTCAGTGGATTGAGTGCCGGACTATGAGCCAGATTGTCGCCAGTTCAATTCACTATCTAGGGCAATCTGGGTTGCAGGTCAGGTCCCCCGTGGGGGACGCACAGGAGGCAACCACACATTGATGTTTCTCTCTCTTTTTCTTTCTCTCTCCTTTCCCCTCTGTGTAAAAATAAAATCTTAAAACAAAGTGTAAGCTAGAAAATAAAAATCAAGAGCTAAAATAAATTGAAAGCTAATATACTAGGAGAAATTCCAGAGAAAGGAACAACCTTGGCTAGGAAAATCCAGGAAAGCTCTGTGGAAAAGGCAACAGAGAGGGTATACAACAATGGGACTGTGAAGAATGAGGAGGAAAGGGGATGAAGACAAACTGAAAAAAGGACACATCCTGAGGAAAGGCATGGAGAGCTCAGAGTACACATGGACATGCAAGCTAGTTTGGTTTGGCAGAAGTGTAAATAGGATAATGGTTCATGAAAATTAAGTGGGAAAGATAAGCTGAGGTCTTATTGTGGAGTGTGATTCTAAATGAGAGGCTCCAAATAGAGAAACCCAAAAGTATTCCCTGCACACTGAGAATTTATTTAAGTGACTTGCCCATGACCATTCTTTTGCCTAATATAAGATCTGTGATTCAAACTTATGGGTGTCTGTGTTCAAAGTTTTATCTATTGGAAGGTATATAAACAAAATAGAATATGTTAACTACACAATAATCAAGATAAGAGGACTTGAACCTTGTCACCAAAGAGCCAGATATATCTAGCTTGCTGAAAAAGAGGCCTGGGCTTATGACAGGTATTTTTAAACACATAGACAGTTTCGGAGGTCAAAAAAACCATAGGATATCTCCTATATTGGCATTAGAATCACGGGATGGCACCCTGGCTAGTGTAGCTCAGTGGTGTGGCCAGGTCCCCAGTTGGGAGCGTGAAACAGGCAACCCGTTTCTCCCCCTCTTTCTCCCTCCCTTCCCGTTTCTCTAAAAATAAATAAATAAATAAATACTTTTTTAAAAAATCGCTGGATGTACAGGAAGAAAAGGCTCTTCTGGTAGGCATTCATGAAAAAAGTGCTGAAACCATTAGGAGGGACACTAATTTCGGGTTGTCAGATAGGATGCCCAGTAAACTTTAAATTTCAGAATTTTTTTTTCGTTAAGAATGTCCTAAAAGTGCGTGCTCCGGGACAAAGCACTCCTTACAGTAGTAAGGAGCAGCAAACTGAACCAAGTCACAAGTACTGTATGGGGTATACTTATACAAAAAATTATTCCTTGTTTACCTGAAATTCAAATTTAACGAGGTGTCGGTATTTTTATTTGCTTAAATCTGACAAGGTTAGAAGTGACTCTTAAGATCTATTCCAAACTTAAGTGTCTGTGGGTTAAGGAAGCCGCTCAAGAAGCTGTATGGGTTAAGACCCGGGGTCGGGGGAAGCAACGCAAATAGATCAAGATGTGAAAAACCTGAGACCACCTATAATACAAAACATACAGCAATATGTTTTGGGGAGGGGCAAGAATGGTCCAAGGACAAGGTAGGATGACAGAGGCTACAACGAGAGACCCGCGGCTGAAGCTTAAAAAAGGTGGAGGCAAAGTTTCCAGGGAACTCCAGTTAGGTTCTCCTACTCTCCTCCCACAGAAGCGGCCCCTTAACTCACATTTTTCGCACACCATTCTTCAGCGACGGTTCCCTTAGCAGCAGTAGCAGCAGCAACTTCAAAACATCAACACAACCAGGGAAAGATTCCCCTTCCGGGTTACAAAAACCCACTTCCGGTCTCTCTCTCCGCCCTGCCTATCCTACACCTGGAAAGCCAAGGGAGGAAAGAACAAGAGCAGAAAGGCGGGGCTGCTTCTTTTGCCGGCCCCTTCACTTCTGCGATTGGCTGTGTGGCCTTGGGTCTCCGCCCACAAGCCTGCGCATGCGCGAAGGTTGGGGGGGCGAGTAGCACCTGGTGGTGGGAGGTAGTCGCCCCCCCCTTGCTCTCTGCGGGCGGGAGTGTTAGGTAAGCCCTGCCGGACGTTCCGGCACGCGGGCCTCGTGGGGATGCGAGCAAACCGCGCCGACTTCCCAGTTGACTGCGAGCCTCTGTGCTCCCTGACCGCCCGCGCCATTCTTGCTGCGTGATCCAGGGGGTGCCCTGGTGGGCCGTCCCTCGAGCTTTTGTGTCTGTTTCCCTTTCTCGTAGTCTCCACGCCTGTGCTGGTTGCTTATGCCTCTCAGCTCATCCCCCGCTGCCCACCCTCAGGCCGACTGAGGCTTGGGCAGATTCCCGGAGTGACCCAGTTTAGGGTGGGGCTGCAGACAACGGCCCAATGATTCCCGAGAAGTCTCCGGGAGCCGCTTAAAAGGGCCTTCTTTCACCTCAATGTCTGCGGGCCCCTTCCAGGTCGGACCGCAAACGCCAGGGTCGCATCCCATCTAGCGGACGCCTGAAGGGTGTCCTCTTAAGATTGCTCGTCGGGAGCCTAACACAGGGCAGGTATCTCAAGAGGGTTAAACACTTGACCCACTCTCCTTTGTTCCCTTGTACATTCATTCGTTCCTTCATTCTTTCGTTCATTCATTGACTCAGTAAGCATTTGAGTTTGGGTACTGCTCACTGTATTACATCCCAGGATGCTCATGTCAGTTGGCGTTCTGAGAGAGGTCCAGAAAAAAAATGCGAAGGGGGGGTAAAAAAAAAAAAAATGGGAAGAGAGTGTGTTGCAGATCTGCTTCCCCGCCCCTAAGCTAAGACTAAAAACTTTTCATTTCTCCCTCCTTGCCCTTCATACTCTTCTTGACCCCTAGCACGTGGAAGCTTGGACCCTTCGACATGTTCCCTAACCTATTTTAGCCTGTTTCCTTAAAATTTGCTTTTGAAACTTATAGTGCTAATTAAATGAGACTTGTTAGGATAAGGTATAGGTTTGACCCTTTGTGTTACTGGGAGCCCCCTCTGTATGTATGTGTGTGTAAAAATATAAATATATATTATATATATATAATATATATTTATATATTCTGGAATAACCACAGTTGCATATGGACTATTACTTTAAGTTAGTAAGATCTTAACATTAGTGCTATGTATAAGCTCTCAGCTAGGTAATTTATAAAGATGTGTGTGTTTTATAGATAAATTCTTTCCTCCATAAAAGCACAAAGCATTTATGCTTTACTTTTTATTGTAATCTAGCACCTGTAACAAACATTGTCATTTTGGTATTTCTGCAACACTAGAATCTCTTCATTTAGCATAATGTTGTTTGAACTCTCTTGATTACACTGGCCACTGGTGGTGTCACTTGGCATTTGCTAGGAAGATGTGAACTACCGTGATGTTAGTTACCAGGATCCACACTGGTGAAAAACAACAATTTAGCCAAACTGAATTCATGGGGTTTCTAGAATGCATAGGTATATTTCCAACAGGGGCAAATCATTAATCCCTGTAGTTTGTTTTCACCTCAGATTTTGGCAAAGAAAAAAAAAAAGGAAAAGGAATTGCTTACTTGGTCCTAGCACATGACCATTTTGCAGAAACCACTCACAGATGTTTAAGGAATTAGAATTAAGAAATTTGTCCTTTTTAGTTTCTGAGAGCTGTTTACCATAGTAGTCCATATGTGCATTTACATTGTGCATCTTCCTATATTCCAAAACCAACATAAAAAATTGACTTTGGGTCCTAACTTATCTTTAAGTGTTGGAACATTTAGAACAATGGAAAAAGCCACTATTGCATATGCTTTTCTTAATTCGTTTTTCATTAGATAGCCACTCAAGAATACACCATGAAAAATACTGATATCAAGAGACTACTGTATACCCACCTTTTGTGCATATTCTCAATTATCCTAAGCATCTTCATCCCATCATTCTTCTTGGAGAACTTCTCAGTATTGGAAACACACTTGACTTGGTTGTGCATCTGTTCTGTTTTCGTAACTGCTGTCAATCTAGTGTTATATTTAGTGGTGAAACCAAATACATCCACTAAAAGAAGTTCATCACACAAGGTAAGGCTTATTTCTTGATAACTGATTTTTGGATAGAAGGAGTGTTTCTTTTAATGAAAAAATAAAGCATTAGTCAAGAACTAAATTGGATTATTTCCAGTAACTAAAGTTAACCTGATTTTTTTTTTTCAAATTAGTAGCCTGTCACTTGTTGGAAGCCTGCCCACAACACTTGATCAATCCTTGCCATGCACTAATTGTGTAATTAGAGTGTCTTCAGTAAATAATATACCAAATATCTCATGTATCATCACATAATAAGGACTGTTTATGTTTTCTTGTATTCTAGCAGTCTGTTATTGGTAAATAATTCATAAATACTGATTAACAGCATAGATCAATGCATACCACAGGACCAGAAATGCTTTTTGACTGTAGTGCTAGTTGGGTGGGTAGAATGAGGTGTGGCGGGGGGCGGGGGGGGTGGTGGATACTTGCCTTTAGGCTTTTTTACAGGGCTGTTTACCTGACTACACAAGACTGATCTGAATTCAGAATCTCCAAATCCAGGGAACATTTAACTGTTCACACATGAGAATGTTATGCTTGCACCTAAAATGGAAACATTTAATGTCCTTTAGGCATTCTCTTGAGTCTTTATTCATTTCTTTTTCAGGTAACCAGATTTTTGAAATGCTGTATCTACTTTCTTATGTCTTGTTTCCTCTTTCATGTAATTTTTGTTCTGTATGGAGCGCCATTAATAGAGTAAGTCTGAAATTCCAAGCTTAAGGCCACTGTACTTTAAAACACTCATTTACTAAACAAAGGGCTAATTCTGTTGATGGTTAGAGAAAGACTGGTGTGTTTGATTGTTAGATCATGGAAGGGTACTGGCATTGCCCTTCCTTACAGTGCTGTTCTTTTAGAAACGGGAATAACTTAATTCATCAAAGGCTCCTATTATCTAGCCTTCTAGTACGAGTCGCAGGTTGGGGTAGGGATGGGAGGTACAGATGAGAAGCTATACTACACCAATAAATGTGTGACCCTTAGAATCTCAAAGAGAACTTACTATGGCAATATGGATAAGTTAGCTACTATTAGCGTATCAGTTCTTAGTAAATGTGATCTGAAGTGCTTGAAAAAAGTTTATTTTCTTAAGCCAGTAGATTTCTGTCTTTACTTAATTAGCTAATGTTTATAGTTTGAAGGTAAAATTTAACTCAACACTTTTTCAAAACTGACCAGTTTTAAATTAGTGAATATTAAACTCATGAATATTTTTTATATAACATTTATTGTAGTTTGGGAAACTTGTTTAGCAATGATTAATGGTCATGGTGAAATGAATGGTTATGTATAAACACACACAAGCTATGTATATAGTTATGTATTTATATGTAGTTTTTTATATATACACATTAACAGGTCATCTTTTCTAGAGAAGGGAGGATAAGACCTTTGTAATGGTAAACAGATATTTCTGTCTAATGCATTTTAGAGTAGAATGAATGTCTAGAGCAATGGTTTTCAAAGTGGTCCTAAAACCAGCATCAGCATTTTATTGAAATGCAAATTCTCAGGCCTCAGTCAGAATTCTAGAGGTGGGGTCCCCCATCTTTAGTTTATCCAGCTTTCTAAGTGGCTCTGATAAAGCTAAAGTTCCAAAGACTACTTAGGAAGAAGGTTAATTTTGAAATGAGCTAAAGTTGAAACACTGGTTGCAGAGAAAGTTCCAGAGACTACTGAGAAAGAAAGTTAATGATCTAGAAATGGGTTTCTTGCCTTGGACAGAATGGATCATAAGATATTTAACACTTTGGACCTCTTATCATTGAAGCCAGATGTTTGCTAGATATTTTTTCATGGTCATCATTTTGGTAGGACTCATGTTACCTTTCAAAGTAAAATACAAGAAAATATTTTTATGTTAAGTTTATTTAAGTAACAAAGATTATTTATGTGTGTATGTTTGTTCCTTTAACACTTTTTAAAAAACTAATGAAGTTTTCTTTCTGTAGGTTGGTGTTGGAAACATTTTTATTTGCAGTTATTTTGTCTACTTTTACTACTGTACCTTGTTTGTGTTTGTTAGGACCGAACGTCAAAGCATGGCTGAGAGTTTTCAGTAGAAATGGGTAAGTTTTGATTTCATGTTTTAGTGATGTTTGAAGGTTTTTAAAAGAATTAATGTATTTTTCTATTCATAGCAGCTAGTTGATTGTTCCATGAGCATTTCTCAGCACTGTCCAGTTTTCGGAGATGCTCTCAGGGCCCACTGCACTTGGGGACTGGGGAGAGGAGGAGTGGGGTGCACCTGAGGGGGATCCAAGCAGGCAGAACCACAGGTCCCTCTCTCTACCTCAGCAAGATTAGTTATGCGTTCTTCTGTAGGGTAGAATTCCGCTAAACCTTTGGTTTGGAAAACAGTCTCTGCTACCAAAGGAAAGCTTTAAAAACTGCTCAGGGATATTTTGTCACTGTGATAAAGCTGATCAGATGAAATTGCTTCCATACATCTTATAAGGTAGAATTGGGGTCCATAACCTAAAAATGTTTAGTATAACCACCACCATTTCTTGTTTAGCCTCTGCTGTGGTAATGACAACCAAGTGCAGGTTTTATAGGATTTCATTTCCTTAGCGGCCAAATATATTTTCAACATAGCTAAATTAAAATTTTAGCTTCTTGAAAGGCATTGAGATGATTTGTATCAAAAATGGTCGAGTCGTAACTCATGAAACTGGAAAGGTGCTTGGTGGCCATCATTTTGTCCCGTTTATCACCTAACAGGGAAAACCCCCAGTTCCCACTCCGTGTGCGTGTTGTGCGTGTGGGCTCCAAGGTGCTGGCTGTGGTTCTCTCCCTGTGGAGCTTGCGTGTGCAAGGGACAAGAACGAGATGGACAAATGGTGTGAGGCTAAAATTGTGTCAGACAGAAGTGCTGTGGGAACTCAGAGGGGCAGGAGACCACTGAGGAGCGAGCTGGGGGTGGGATGACCTATGAAGGGCTTGGATCGAGAGTGTGCGATTAGGTGAGACCGAAGGGGAAGGGACGAAACCTCATGCTAGGGGATGGAATGACGCCACAGAAACTGAACGTGGTATCTTTGTGTGATTTGGAAGAGAACAGCCCAACTAGAATGGAGGGTGCCTGATGGGTAGCAAGGCTCCATAAATAATTGACTTTTTCTTTTTGGAATGAATATTGTTTGTTCCCCTTCAGAACCATATTCTAGAGTTCATGAAGTCTCTAGAAAAGAAAAGTGTAATTATTGAAAATGTTTTCCCACATTGTTATGACAGTATCCCAAATGGCATTACTTTCTTTTAGCATTTTAGTTTGAAATTTTTATACAGTGAAAACTGGTTGAAACCTTATTGGTTTGATGGGTGATTTATCCGGCTTTGAATTCTGTTTCTGATAATAGCGTATTTGGGGGAGACATCCAATTCTACAGTTAGTCTTGTGATAGTATGGCACATGCAGTCCTAAAAATCCCTGTACTATGTGAACTTGGACAATCAAAAACGCATAAAGAAAGCTGGGGACTTAATACAAATGGTAGGACAGTTTTATACTTGTTAAACAAGTTAAGAAATACATAAATATAATAAATGTACTTTTCCTGGGAAAAAACCTGAAATTTGCTTTTGGGAGCAGGTTTGAGAAGGGTTGCCGCTTGTAAGTCATTACAAAGTGGTCAAGGGAGGTTGTCGGGGGCCTGGCAGAACGGCAGGCCAGGTGTGCAGGGAGTGGTTCAGACACAGGAGGCAAACTGGGGGAACTGGGAGATGAGCTTTTCAAACAGTATTGAGACATAATGCAAATATAATACAAAGTATACAATTAAATGGCTTTTACTATATTCACAGATATATGCAGCAAACACAGTCAATTTTAGAACATTTTCATCACCTTAAAAAGAAACTCTGTACCGTTTTGCCATCACTTCCTTATTATCCCCTCTTCCTCAGACCTAGGTAACCACTAAACTGTTTACTGTCTCTATAGATTTGCCTGTTCTGGACACATCATAAAAATGAAATCATATGTTAATCTTTTGCGATTGGCTTCCTTTCACTTAGCTTAGTGTTTCAAGGTTGAGCTATGTTGTAGCATGTACTAAATCCTTTCTATGGCTGAATAATATTCCATTGTATGGATATACGAGGTCTGTCCAGAAGGTATCCAGCCATGTAATATGGAAAAATAGAGACATATATTGAAGAAGATACAGTATGTAAGAAACATACAAGGTACATAGGACAGTGGCGCCTCAGTCCCCTTCAGAGTAGGCACCTTGGGACCTCACACAGTTCTCCCAGTCACCATCAGCTGCCCCATTGTATTTTTCTAAATCTCATCAACAGTCTGAAAGATCTCTTTTTTCAAAAGTGATTTTAGTTTTGGGAAAAGCCAGAAGTTACAAGGTGCCAAATCAGGGACATAGGGAGGCTGAGTCACCTGGGTGATTTGTTTTGTCAAAAAACTTTGAACAAGATGTGACACGTGAGCAGGGGCACTGTGATGAAGCTGCTAATCACCAGTTGCCCATAGCTGCAGCCTTCTGAATCATCTGAATGGTTTCCATGGAGAAATGTTCAAGCTTAACACAAAATTTGATGCAGATTAGCTGCTGTATTCACTCAGTCATTTTGAATGTGAAGGCCACACAGTACACATGTTCACTAAACAGCATCTACCGCCCCCGCTGACTGGTACAATGAAGACGTCATTGTTCACCCACGCACATTCCAGTCACTCTCCTTGGCTGCCAGGTTACATCAGTGGCACGCAAGCCATTCTTGTTATGTTAACAATGGCTGGACTTTTTCCCGAGAGGCCTTATATACCACCATTCATCAATTGATGGACATCTGGGTTGTTTCCACTTTTTTTGCTACTATGACTAAGGTGCTATAAACATTTGTGTACAGGTTTTTATATGGATTTAAGCTTTCATTTCTCTTGAGTAGATGCCTAGGAGTGGAATTGCTGGGTCATATAGTAACTCCATGTCTAATTATTTGAGGAACTGCCCATCTCTTTTCCAAAGTTACATTCCATAGCAATGCATGAGGGCTTTGGTTCCCCTACATCCTTGCCAGCAGTTCTTTATCTGACTTTTTTTAAAAAAGATTTTATTTATCTTTACAGAGAGAGGAAGGGAAGGAGAAAGAAAGGGAGAGAAACATGAATGTGTGTTGCCTCTCATGTGGCTGCCAGTGGGACCTGGCCTGCAACCCGGGCATGTGCCCTGACTGGGAATCGAACTGGTGACCCTTTGGTTCGCAGCCTGCACTCAATCCACTGAGCCACACCAGCCAGGGCATTGTTTATCTGATTTTTTGATTATCACCATCCTAGTGGGTGGGGAGTGTTATTTCATTGTGATTTGTTTGCATTTCCCTACTGACTAATGGTGTCAAGTATCTCTTCATGTGCCTGTTGGCCATTGTATAGTTTCCTTGGGAAAATGTCTATTTAGATCCTTTGCTCATTTTTTTCAGTTGGGTTATTTGTCTTTTTATTAAGCTGTAAGATTTCTTCATATACCCAAATGCAAGTCCCTTGTCAGATACATGATTTGCAAATATTTTCGCCCTTTCTGTGTGTTGTCTTTTCACCGTCTTGACAGTGTCCTTTGGTAGTGCCGGTGGGAATGTGAGTTGGTTCAGACTCTGTGAAGGGCAGTGCAATAATACCTATAATTACAAATACCCATCTCTGACCCAGCAGTTCTGATAGGATTTTATTGTAAATATACTGGCATACCTACAAAATACTGACTATAGAAGATTATTCATTGAAACTTTGAAAATAGCCTAAACATCCTTTAATAAGAGATGGATTAAATGAAATTTAATCTACACCATGGAATGTTACACAGTTGTGGGAAAAAAAACCCAATCAAGTCTTTATTTACTGAGATGCTGGTAAGTGGAGAAAAGCAGGGTAGAAAAATGTGAGTAGGATGCTACCACTCGTAAAAATTTGCAGGAGAGAATAGGTATACCTGTATGTCTTTGGAAGCATACATAAAAACCTGATGAAACACTGGTTGGCTCTGGAGAGAGGCTCTGAGCAGCTAAGTACAAGATAAGGAGACGCTCCACTGACCCCCCTTTGGTATCTTTTGAATTTGACCATTTTAATGCACTGCGTAGTCAAAATGAAAATTTTAAATTAGTTAGATTTTGCCAATACTTAACTTACTTTAAACTTACTTTTTGGTTATTGAAAAGTTAGACCTGTGTCAAGAATGTTAGATTTCTCTGATGCCACCTAAATTTTAGTAGAGTACAAAAATATCCTAAATTTTCTAACATACAGCCAGAGAACAGTTCAGTTACTGGAAAACTATGGCTAAAAATAATCGGTTTGTTATAAAACATTTTATTTAACATCACACAATGCATGGCATGAAATAGTAATATGCAAAAAAATACTTCAGTAACTTTTAAAGAATTTTTATACAGGGTCTGGCAGAAGTAAGGCCTGCTTGAATGAGGTTGGTAGGGTAATAGTATAGGTGTAGTAATTTATAGTTTAAATTTGAACATTTCACCTAAAATGTCATATGGTATGCTTGAGTGTGATATTGTTATGTTACAGGATTACATGCTTATGATTTTGTAATAAAAAGGGGGCATTATTTGTGCTGCAATCTGTATGTGTTATAGCATTTAATTCTCACAGCAATTTGGTAAGATACTCCTATTTTCACCATTTTCTAGACAAAGATATGGAAACCTGACAGGTTAAGTGATGTGCCAAAGCCCAACAGCCAGAAAGAGGTAGAGCTGGGGCTGGAATCCAGATCATCCGACAGTATAAAAATGTTTAAAAGACGCTACTAATCAAGGGTCCGAAAACCAGTTCCTACCCTGTCTTCACTGCTTAGTGGCCAATGACGTTAAATAAGCTATTTAACTTTACAGATCCTCATACTAATTGTACTTGACAGGGTCATTGTCAGAACTGAGTGTGAAATGATGGGTGAAATCAAATACTAAGTGCTCAAGAAATGTTTGTCCAATGGACTAGCACATGCCATGGAGCATTTTTATGTTTCATACTTCCAGTCCGTCTGTCCTGGTGCCTCTTCCCAGTGCAGGGAGCAGACCAAGGAGG